GCAGCGTGACCTCGTCTCTACAATAAATCAAAAAGTCAGCCGGGTGTGGTAGCGCATGCCTGTAAGTCCGGCTAGTTGGAAGGCTGAGGCAGAAGGATCGCCGGAGCCCAGCAGGTCGAGGCTGCGGTGGCCAGGAGTGGCCACTCTGGTCTGGGCGACAGAGTGAGACTCGAACTCAAAAAAAAAAAAAGAAACTGGGGCTGCAGATGGAGGCCCACTAATTGTAGATTGTTGTGCAATTTGTACTGGCAGAACCCCAAGAAATGTCATTGTTCTGGAAATTGGTTTTTCTATAGCTACACAAATAAAAGTTTAGTTCTTTGTGGCAGAAAACATTTGCTAGAGTGTACCTGGTCATAGTTAAATATATAACAGGTTAACTTTTGCTGCTACATGATTTCTAGGAAAAGATTAAATATTAGTTTTAATACATAGATTATGCTTAATTTTGAAAGGTCATGGGTATTCAAGTATAGGGTGATGGTGGTTTTGTGTTATGAGTGTGTTTAGCTTTAAAGGAATAATCGTATAAGTTTTTTGTTTCATAGCTTTAAGGAAAGTGATTGTATCTAATTGTTAAAGTATGAGAAGAGTACGTGAAAGGTTTCACATGACTGTCTACCTAACTGTAAAAATATGAGAAAAACACTCGGAAAGTTGCACATAACCATCATTAATTTTTTTTTTTTTTGAGTTGGAGTTTCACTCCGTCGCCCAGACTGGAGTGCAGTGGCCGCTCCTGGCCACTGCAGCCTCGACCCGCTGGGCTCCAGCGATCCTTCCAGCCTCAGCCTTCCAAGTAGCCGGAATTACAGGCGCGCGCTACCACGCCCGGCTGATTTTTTCTTTCTTTTTTTATTGTAGAGATGAGGTCTTGCCAAGTTGCCCAGGCGGGTCGCCATTAATGTCTTAAGAAACTTGTTTTGGAGAATTTGAGTAATGTCAAGAAAAGATTTTTCATATATGTCACCCAGAAGGCTATGCAACAAAAATGTATATAAATCACAGATTCGCTAGCAATAAACGAGCAGTCCCACACAAGCACCGGGTCTGTGTCCGTTCATTGGCCGATGCCACTCATCCTTCGGGAAACCCTGATCCTGCTGGAGCTGGACTCCGGCGGGTGGTACTGTGGAGGTAGGACAATTCGAGCCTTGTTTCCACTCAAATGGATGAAAACCTGTGCTTTGGTTTGACTGGCTATTCCTCTCACCCTGGCACTTCAAAACCCACTAATAACTACTGAAAGAGTCAAACGATCATCACCTGAACCACCAGTAACTGGCTCATTTGACTCTAGTATGTATCTAAACGCTATAGGAGCCCCTAGGAGAGTTCCTAATGAATTCAAAGCTGAAAATAAATCAGCCGCAGGATTTAAATCTCTCTTTTAGTGGGTAACTATGCACAAGAATGTAAACTAAATCAATTTTATATATATATATATAATTGGGCATGGTGGCTTGCATCTGTAGATCCAGTTACTTGGAAGGCTGAGGCAGAAGGATCACCTAAGTCCAGCAGATCGAGGCTGTGGTGGCCATGAGCGTGCCACACTGCACTCCGGCCTGGGTGACAGACTGAGACTGCAACTCAAAAAAAAAAAAGAAAACACTCAATATGTTTTTGGTGAATAAATGAATTATGGTGCCTGTTATGAAACTTTATGTTATATAATATATATATTATAATCAACAAAAATGTATTAACCAGACTAGAAATGCTATTTAAAAAATTGCTGGGCCGGGCACAGTGGCTCGGCCTGTAATCCCAGCACTTTGGGAGGCTGAGGTAAGAGGATTGCCTGGGCCTGCGGGTTCAAGACCAGCCTGGGCAACTTGGTAAGCCCTCGTCTCTGCAATAAAGCACAAAAACTAGCCGGATGTGGTGGTGTGCATCTCAGTTACTTGGAAAGCTGAGGCGGAAGGATCACCTAAATCCAGCAGGTGGAGGCTGCTGTGGCAGTGAGCATGCCACTGCACTCCAGCCTGGGTGACAAAAGTGAGACTTGAACTCAAAAAAAAAAAAAATTGCTGAACAGTGAAATGCTGCTAGTAGAATGACATAAAAATATCGTATGGCCTTAAACATAATGCTAGCGAAAAAAGGGGAGGACATGTCATGCTAGGAGGACAATGCTGTCCTCCCCAAACTGATTAAGATCTTGTGTGTTAGGTTCTATCTCCACTCGCCTTCCTGCTCCCACTTGCCAGAGGGGAACACATGGAAGTCCAAGTACACAAGACCTGGGACACCCAAAGAAAACTGCGTGCTTTACAAATTGGCAACTGAAAAAACGATGAGTGGCCCCCTGAATGTATTATCCAATACTATGGCCGGCTACCTGGGCAGAGAGTGGGTCTTGGGACTATCAGATCCCCATTTACATGCTAAATTGCATAATTCGATTATAGGCGATGTTGAAAATTATAACTAATGAAACTGCAAAGGCCCTTAACATACTAGCCAAACAGCAAACTAAAATGTGCATTGCCACTTATCAAACCGCTTCGCTTTAGATTACTTGCTTGCTTCTGAAGGAGGGGTTTATAAAAAATTTAACTTAAGCAACTGCTGCTTACAGATAGATGATGAGGGAAAGGTCATAAAGAAATCACCAACTGGATTAAAAAGATTGCTCATGTCCCAGGCCAGACCTGGAAAGACTGGGACCCTGAAGAACTGTTTGGGGGTTCTCAACTTTTGGAAAATTTAAAACCCTCATAGGCTTTATGCTCACGATGTTGGAAATTTGTCTAATTCTGTCCTGCCTCGCTCCCTTGATTATAAGGTCTGTCTCCAGCCTCATGGAGGCCATGGTTAAAAGAAAAACAGCAGCGCATGTGATGCTGGTATGGAAGGACAACCCTGAAATCAAAGCGATGCTCTATAACCCTACAAAGGGATTCGAGCATCAAAGGTGGAATGAGGCAGGGGTCCCTCTAAAACAAAGAGATAAGGGCCTTCCCAGAATAGAAAAAGAAGGTGTTAAAGAGAAAATGACGTGTCGCAGTCAATGTCCAAATGCGCACGAGTAACCCAGTTACAACCCTGTGCCAGAAAATAGTCAATCAAAAATGCAGGTTGCCACAGAAGGGAGACAAAGGGGCTAAATGTAATATAAGGCAACGCCCTGCTGCATTCAGGGCTCAGCCTTTGGATGTGAAAAAAAGTCTCGGTGTCTTACACTGCTTCCTGGTAAAAAAAAGTCTCGGTGTCTCATCTCTCTCTGTAAAGAATCCTGCCACAGAAGGATTGCCTGAGCCCAGCAGGTCCAGGCTTCGGTGGCCGTGAGTGTGCCATTGCACTCCAGCCTGGGTGACAGAGTGAGACTCTGACTCTAAATCAATCAATCAATCAGTCAAGTCAGATCACATCAGTTGTCTGCTCCAATCCCTCCAGTGGCTTTTCAGTGATTCCTGTTGTACCACTCTATTTCAAACAGAAATGCTCCCCCATCCCCATACCCCATTCTAACCCCTTTACCTGTTCTATAATCTCTATAGCACTTCTCACTATGTATCATAGGTTTAACTTGCTTTTTTTAAAATCTCCTTCCATCGGAAGGTGGGGAATCTTTGTTTTGTTCTCTACTGATTTCTCAGTCTGCAACAGTGCTCAGCCTGTCATCCCAGCACTTTGGGAGGTGGAGGCTGTGGTGGCCATGAGCGTGCCACACTGCACTCCAGCCTGGGTGACGGACTGAGACTGCAACTCAAAAAAAAAAAAGAAAACACTCAATATGTTTTTGGTGAATAAATGAATTATGGTGCCTGTTATGAAACTTTATGATAATCAAGAGGTTCGGTACTGATCACGCCTAACACTTAACTGAGCACTTACTATGTTGAAAGCTTTCTGTGGCCCGCGGGGGTGGCTCACGCCTATAATCCCAGCACTTCGGGAGCCCGAGGTGCGAGGACTGCTGGAGCCCATGGGTTCAAGACCAGCCTGGGCAACTTGTTAAGCCCTCATCTCTATAATAAATCAAAAAATTAGCCGAGAGGCATGGCGGCACGCGCCTGTATTCCAGCTCTTTGGAAGACGGAGGCAGCAGGATCGCCGGAGCCCAGCAGGTCGAGGCTGCGGTGGCCGGGAGCGGCCA